CACCCACAGGACTAGCACCACAAAGAAAAACAGCAAGGAACCGCCAGCCAGCGCTTTCCAATGCTTTCAGCAATGCCTTTCCGATAAACACAGTAAGCGAAAAGAACAACGAGAACAACGAGGAACAAAAAGCATTTCGATTTGAAATAGATTCGCCGCCAGATAAGCCCAAAACTGGGTATCCAAGTCTGAAGTCGCTGATTCAAGAGATGGGTTTCACGGGAAAGACTCCACAATACCAAGCATGTGTCAAGTTTTTTGAGGCCATCAGCCCAAAACACAGTGGAAAACAAGACTTGGTGGATCTGTCGTCACCATCGAAGACGAAAATATAGAAAACAACAGCGACATCCTATTCGTGAAGATCATAGAATCGCAGAAAAAGGGGGACACAGAAATGCAAGAAGACCAAGAACACAACAAACTAGAAGAGGAAATAACTAAAGACGGGAAGTCAACCGGAAATTAAAAAAGAAAACTCAAAGTCCCACGGGGACTCAAAAACTCAAAAACCTAAAAGGTCCCACGGGGACCATAAAACTCAAATCAAAATAGTAAACATTTTCAAAAACTTTGTCGAGGGCGAATGTCATCCGGCCTGGATCGACAAATCTAGTTTATATATAAATACTTGTTTTTTATACTATGTATAGCGTACGATTTATGATATAACCGTTCATTTGGCCGGTTGGTCGACCTTCAGAGACCTTCACTTGAACGGTGGCCGAACGAATTGCCAGAACGCAATAAGCGTTGCTTAAAAGTCAGTTGTTTCACCTCGCTGCGGATTATAGTATTAGTTTATCGATCTATCCGGGTTCCAGAAATAGCATATCTTACACGCAAGTATCTTACACGCAGTTTCCAAAGCAAGTTTTTTTTTGCATGAAAAATTAATTTTTTGTGTGCATAACTTAGTCCTGAATGTTAGAGTTTTTTTCTTTTCGCTCGATAACTTTTCATAAAAGCTGAAAAGTCCTATTTTTTAATTGGAATTGCAAGGTAAGAAATTGTTCATATCTGGAAATTGTATGATCTTACACGCAGTTTCCAAAGCAAGTTTTTTTTGCATGCAAAATTAATTTTTTGTGTGCATAACTTAGTCCTGAATGTTGGAGTTTTTTTTCTTTTCGCTCGATAACTTTTCATAAAGGCTGAAAAGTCCTATTTTTAAATTGGAATTGCAAGGTAAGAAATTGTTCATATCTGGAAATTGTATGATCTTACACGCAGTTTCCAAAGCAAGTTTTTTTTGCATGCAAAATTAATTTTTTGTGTGCATAACTTAGTCCTGAATGTTGGAGTTTTTTTCTTTTCGCTCGATAACTTTTCATAAAGGCTGAAAAGTCCTGTTTTTTAAATGGAATTGCAAGGTAAGAAATTGTTCATATCTGGAAATTTTATGATAAGAAGTTTTGGTCAACCCGGGTCTATAATATGCAATAATATAATTTAGATAAAAGCCTCGAAATAATAAAAAAAAGTCGGATAGCTCTGAGATTCTAACCTGCGATCTAGAGATTGAGTGTCTCGCACGCTAACCACTCAGCCACAGAGGCAAACTGAGCTTCTTTTTCTGCACTGACAATACGCTGAGTGGCTTTATTTTTGTTAAAGCGTGTTTTTTAAAACCTTTGCTTTAACTCTTTTAAGTCTCGCAATCAATTGTAAGACAGTCTGTCATTAGTTTTAAAGATGAAGAAGAAATGTAACAAGAATCAGCCCGGTCGACCCAAGAAACCCATCAATTAGAAAGATTTCGCTCAAAATCAGCAAAATTCTACCATTTCCATACTGCCGACTTGTTCTGAAATTTACTTGAAGTATTTGCCTTTTTTTTCTTAGATTTTTTTTGTAAAAATTGAAAAACATACCGCATTGCTGGCGCCAAAAACTAGCCACAAACAATACTAGGCATCAAACACTAGCCACCTATAACGCAGAGAACACAATGCAATTTAAACAACTTTTTGCATAAGTTCAAAGTAAGCATTTGAATATTCAGATTTCATGCCATATATACAGGACACAATGTTAATAATCACAAAAAAAGAGAATGTGGGAGGTGAAGATGTCTCCCTGAGCAGAAGAAGGTCTGAATTTTTCTGAAATTGACAGATGATCCAAATTTTTTGAGTTTGTGGATTAATGGTATAGGGCAAAAAACCATAAATACAAAAAATTTGGATCTCTTATCAATTTCAGTAAAATAATACTTCAGTAATTCCGTTCAGACTTCGATAACTTAGTTATATAATGAAAACTTATATTAATTCAGAAAACAAAAACAGATATGCTGAGACCGGATAAGTCCTAATTTGACAAGATTGAGTTTTAAAAATCAGCCCGATTTTGTTTTGCACGTTGAGCGGCTTTATTTTTTGTTGAAGACTGTTTTCATGTGTTTTTCTCTTCCTCTTGTAAGTCCCGCAATCAAGTATCAAGTGCAAGACAACCTGTCATTAATTTCAAGGTTGAAGGAGAATCGTTCCAAGAAAAAACTCCGGTCGATTCAGAAGAAAGCAACTCATCAGTTAGGCAGATTTCGCGCAAAATCAGCAAAATTCTACCATTTCCATACTGCCGTCTTGCGCTGAAAATCTCTTGAACTAATTTTCATCTTTCTTAAACCCGAATAGTAAGCAAAAAATTCTATGAAAACTTTTTATATTATCAAAAACCGAAAACAAACGAGACGATCAACTGGTTTCGCTAACCGATTCGCCCCGCAAAATTGTCAATCAAGAGTCAAAATGTTGCACGCTGTCTGTCAAGAAAAAAAAATTTCAAATTTAACTAGTATCAAGACTTAAGTGTCTTGGCTAAAAGAACACAGAAGTCAAAACTTTTCAAGAACTAAAACGCAAATCCGCATTTACCTGAATTACTGGCTCAGATAGCTGATTGGATTATATAATGACGTTTGAGCACTTGCTACAAAGCAGCTGTTCATTCGAAGAATCATATTCTAGAGGGTACCGGATTAAGTTTTTCCCCAGTATATTATAACTATGTTCACTTTCTATTTTGTTCACTTTCTATTTAATGAGTGAATTTTTTTCTCTCATTAAGTTTTTTCTATACAAATGTCTTATCTATACAATTGGCTTTCTATACAATAAGCTTTCACCACAACGATTGGCTTAGTAATTTATGACATCGTGCAAGCTTTGTTTGTTATTTAACAGCCATTCGGAGCCATTTCATGACAAGTTGTAAAAACAATAACTATGAGGAGACAGATATAGAAACTTCTAATAAATTGTTTCCAGTCTAGTGTAGCCATGTAGTTATGTCAGGGTTGCTTCTTACTCGCTTCCAAAAATTAGATTGGGGAGACGCCAATAGGCTGCAAGAACTTGTTTTTGGGCGGCTCAAATCAGAAAAAAAAACACTTTTCTGCACTACCCGGTTAGTTAACAGGAAAAAGTAACGCTAATTCAGAGATATCGCAGCGATTACCACCTATGGTTCAGTGTATGATCAGGGTCACTTTATCCATGATCAGGGCTAAATCATCGCTGAATTAGGGCTAAATTTTCAGGTATGAATCAGCCATAAATCATCCATGAATCAGATAAGAATTTTCACTGCAATAACCCTGAAGACCTATGAATCAGGGATATCTCATTCCTGGAAAATTTCTGAATAGCCGTGAAAAATCAAATCATAAATAGTGCAACAATGAGCATGAATTTTCTAGATGTTAGTTCTTTAGCCCAGTTCACAAACTGGTTCACGACGTGGGTACGGTTTCCCAACCGACATTCTTTCTTGCGTGACGTTGTCTTCGGTTCGTACTTTCGTACCTTTCAACACTAGATTCAAGTTCACTTGCACGAAGTCCCAAAATTTTAACGCGTCAAACTCGCTTTTGAATTTAATAACCACTCGAGAGCCAGCACATTTCTTGAAAAAAATTTTTATGTGAAACGTATTTTACCTGCGGTGGCTGTTACTGGAGTTTTGGACCCTTTAGAATAAGGTTTCTGATTACTTCCTTGAAAGCCTTGATACCTGTGTAATCGGGCCTTTGAGAATAACTGCGAGGAAGTGCTCATTTTTTCTCCTCAGGGCAAGATTTTTTAAATTTGTTCCTTGCCGAACGGCAGATTTTTAAACACCAAATCTTTTTTGGCAACTTTTGATAAAAGAAAGAACTGTTTTAGGTTGTTTTGAGCTTAGTTTGGCTGTGGGGGATGCATCTTTTTTCTATTAAAAACAGTTTTTTTCTTCATATTTTTACCAAACATTGCCGCGTTTCCGGTAAATTTAGTTGCTCTTTAATTTTAACCACCAAAACTTACACATTTCTACATTTTCGCGAAAAAAAATTTAACAATTTTAAAAAACACAACACATTGAAATTGATAACTTGTTCCGTCGTGGCTGTTCTGATAAATTTTAATCAATTTTGGGAAGAAAGAGCTGTTTAAACAATTTTCTAACTCTCATGGTGATAGTTTGGCTCATTTATTTCTCACATCTCACAAAACCAACTTTTGTACGGCGCATCGACGGGTATTGCAAGGTTAAGTATGAAGACCAAATATGTGTGTGAAAGCCTAATCACACCAAATGTGTCGTGGCAATCTTTATAACAATCGGACAAGGTCAACCAAAAATACTAAAAAAGCCAGCCATATGGGGAAAGGAAAATGATAATTTGTTTGCCAAATTTTGCTTTTCTGTATTCGAAGTACCTCGTTTGTCTTTAAAGACGTCCTAAATTTGAGCGTTTCATTCTCTTTTCTGATAATTTCATCGATGTGCAAAAAATTCTGTTGGTAAAAACAATTGTTTGTTTGCTCTTATATCGCTAACTGATTCGTTTTTGCAATTGTAGTTTTTTGTACATGCTTAATTTTCATTTTAAGAGGTGTAATTCATGATGTTTCACTATTGGCGCATGCAAGTTTTTCATATTTCAGAACTAGCTGCGTGTAATTCATAAGTCATGTCCATAATTTACCATTTTCCTTATCAGCAAGCTATAAAAGTTTGATTGATTAAAAATCGTTTCTTGCAAGTAATTTTACAGAATAGGAAGAATTATTCAATCTAAAACCATTCAGTGTCTGTAATACTTATTGATACATGAAATCTCAAAACTCGATTTAAAGAAGTTGCTTGTGGTTCTTCTAGCTCCTGTACAGTTCAGTCCTATTTACAATCATCACCGATTTCAGAATTTGTAAGTGGGCGGCTCCATTTCTTTCTGGGCGTGACCGTTTTCGGCATGAGCCAAGTTGTTTGCCATCGGCTTCACCTCGTTGTCACAGCGTCGCAGCTGCTGTCCGACACTCGGGTACAGGAATAGTGCCGCGAACCAGTCCTCCACCGGGTTTCCAATGTAGTCGCGGTCCACTCGCACGGCAGTTCTGCAGGCGCCGATGATTGTTGCGAAGCCGAAGAAGCAAGTCCAGGCGAAGGCCCAGAACTCGTGTTCGACCCAGTGCAACGGGTACAAGACCACGAAGCAAAGGAGAAGGAAGTAGGCGATGCCAGCGAAGATGAAAGTCATGAAGTCTTTCATTTTCCACACTCTTACAGCCGCTTTTGCCGACCAGTAGGGTCCGAGAATGAACGCCAGAAGCCATTCACCAATGATGTCCAGTTTGAACTCAGTGGCGAAGTCCAGATATCCCACTGGGAAATCGGGCGCCTGAGCGTCAAGATCCCTGTAAGATACTCCGCATGCCCTCCACAGAGCTACACAGAGGAAGCAAATCACAAAGGTGTAGGGGAGGCCACAGACGATTGAAACTGTCTGCAAGGCTTGTAGCGCATCCTTTCCACCTGCAACCAGAAGTGCGGTTGCCGCTCCGCCCTCAGTCAGAGCCCAGAACACTCTCTGCAACGTCGGCGGTTCCAGGTCTCCGTTGGATCCCAACATGTCGATGATGTAGGATCCCGAGTCAGATGAAGTGACGAAGTACATGATTATAGCAGCAATTGAGAGGACGTCAAGGAAGACTCCGAAGTTGCCATGAGATTCCATGGTAAAGAACCACCTCTCTTCTGTGCTGAAACAACTGAGTCGAACAAATTTCTTGTCAGCAGATCTTGCCCTTTGGTTTCCGAATGATTCCCCAATCCAGGTATGAACCTCATTGCGCTGCATTCCCTCGGCAGCTGCATAGTTAAGCGTAGCATACCCGCAAGCATTGCAGCCTCCCAATTCAGACCCTGATCCGTCACAGTAAGCTCCAAAATCGGTAGCATCCACAACTAAAGCATTAGTATCGGTTGCATATAATCCTGTGATTGCAGTGTTATTTTGAAAGTTCTGGTTGCAGCAGTATCCTTCTTGAGCCGCCAGACGTTCCAGTCCGATTCCGGCACCCCCGAAGAACCCGAACCAGAGGAAAGTGTACAGACAGGGGGCTGTTAGAGTGCCGTTTATGAACTCCCGGATTGTTCTTCCTCTGGAGATTTTGGCGATGAAGATTCCTTAAAGTATGAAAAGTCAAAGAAGCGTCACCGTTGATTAGTATAGAAACAATTCTATCTTCAGTCAAAATGACAATTCTAAAACTATCAAAAAAAACATGAGCACATTTTACTGTGCGTGTTGCTCATCATGTCATGACCATTGTTACCTTAGCAAAGCCCCCGAAAAGCCCGTAGATATAATGCGCTTGAAGAGATGAGTTAGCCATTCATTGTTGATTCAATTTCCGCCGCTACTCGCTAAATTTGTGCATTACACGCGTAAAAAATTCAGACCAACTGTTCTAGACGCCGAGAGAAAGTTTATGAACTATAAACAAAGATAGCCGGTTCCTGTGCAAGTAGCACAAAATGTTCCAGCCATAGCCTTAAAAAACACATTTTTTTCTTCAAATTACTGTCGTGTCTTCTTTTAGGTGGTATAAAAAAAATCTGAACAGAAAAAGTAAATGAAGCACAATCAAACCTGCCGATTGGAAAACAGCTTTTGTAGAAAAACGATTAATAGAAACGAAAAAAAAATCGGTAAAAAATTTCCAAAACTTTCTGAAAAAAATTGAACTTTTTGATTCCCAAATTGGCGCTGAAACAATAAAAAAAATCACTAAAACTAAGTTTTCACGGCTCAAATAAGGCAAAAGGAGGCTTTTGCCAGCCTGAACGCTCACCTTATTAGCATGATTTTAACCAAGTTAAAAATTTAAAAGTGAAAAATTTCAGACTGGTTTTTGTGGACACGGAGAAACTTTTTTTATCTCGTTCGAAACACCACTGAAAGGGTTTCAATATGTTGTATGACTCGACCCGGCTCTTTTCCAGTTCCCCCCTTTCAAATTCAATTTTGAAAAGTCTATTTAACGTAATCATAATGCAATGAAATTTGGCGTGGTGAACAAATCGACAATTCTGAACAGATTTGTTCATCATACTTTACAGCGTAACATCACGCGTTTAGCCGTAATAACACGTAAAACAAACATAAAACTCGGTATTTTGAAAGGGGGAAACTGGAAAAGAGCCCTCGACCCAATCTGATGATAATTTTTGGCTCCTAGTTTTGCATGGAAAAGTAAAAAACTTCAAAATACCCGAACACAAAGTTCTTCCACGTTTTTAAATTGATCGGAACAAGATGTAAAATTGCGAGCAAAAAAAAAAAGATTTATGTCGTAAGTACCAAGCTCTCTTCCAAATGATCGCTTAAGCATAATAACAATCAAAGAATTTTTAGATTGAAAAATATTTAAGAACTGAACAAGTCTGCACGGATCAGAGCAAAATGCTGAAGGTTCAGAAAATTTTTTATGTAATTTCAGAGAAAAACAAACTTTTTTACAAAAAGAAACTTAAAATATTTAAAAAACTTTGACTAGTTTTGTTTTTATAAAACTTCCATACACACAGAAAAATCGTAACGGAACTTTTGAATCAAAAAGCAAGCAATAAGTCAATTCGGAAAAGTTTCTGAATCGGATTGTTTCGCCGCCAACGTTAAGCTTTAACACAAAATTTAAAATTTAGAGCAAGTTGTCCATACCATGTCGCATTAAATGGCAGCTTTCACATCCCCATAACTTTTGCAAAAGATCGCTGGTAAACTGTTTTGCTAATTTCAAACTTAAGGTATCAGTATCCGACAAATTTTATAAGATGTTTTCCTCAAATGTGTTATTCAAATTTTTCTTGATCAATCGAAAAAATCGTTTCGCCTTCCGCTCGTAAATTTTTGAAAGCAAAACCAGTTTTTGGAAAATTATTTTCCAGATCAAATCTATTTTAACCTAGGTAACGAAACATTTGATCTAAAGTTAAGTCCAAGCAATAGTTTGGCTATTCAACATTATAAAAAAACTAGTAAAAATCATAAACTTTTGAAATTAATTAATACGCGTTTGTTTGCAAACAACAATTTATTTGAAAGCTAGCAAAATCAATCTATACAAAACGGTTCCTCGGAACCAGGGGTGTATTTGGATTTAAAGGGAGACTTGGTATTATTTAATGACATCAGTTTTCGGCTGACCAACCGTTAAATGTTTCTTCAGGAGCCTGTGGCGCCATGCTTTAGCAACTTACAAGGAAGCGCACGCCAAAAAAATGCAATTCTAGGTCAAAACTGTCTGATTAGTCTCACGCAAAATTTGTTTAAGAGTTGGATTAGGGGGAGAGGGCGTTGACCTCAGGAAGTCCACCCCCTCACCAACCAAAGAGTCCACTCTTTGGTGTTATTTTATGGCATCCATTTTAGCCGGACCAACCGAAAAACTTTTCTATAGGCGTCTTTGAAAACAGCCTTTTTGACGTGTTATTTAAATTATTTAACTTCAGCTAAAAAATTTTGGTCAATATAGGGTCTTAAGATTGTTTTGGGAGTGCTCGGAAAATCAATTTGGTCGAACTTAAAAAATTTTTGAAAAGTTTTAGAAAAACCCGACACTTCAGACTCTCCTTTGAGAAAAGCCTAAGTCCACCCCTGCTCGGAAGGCTGCTAAAACAGGCTTCATAATTTTTGCTGTAGACAGCACTTCCAGGGTTGTGATTGAATCCTTCAGAGGAGCTCAGGCAGGTTCAGACTGCAAACATTTGTCCGCAACCTACGCAAACGAAAAAAAACTACCAGGTGCGCGAATGACCGGTATAATTGTTTTTGCTAGAAATTCGAAATTGTGGTGTAACTCTGATAAAAGCATATGCAGTGTAGTATATAGATATATTTTTTCTGTAACTGAATGTTTCTGAGCGCACTACTGGTTTCTAATACTTAAATTATAAATTTTTCGAAAAGCTGTTTTTTTTGCAATGTTGTTTCGAATCAAGTTTTCTTCTTTTTTAATACGAGGTAAATTAAAAACTGTTTCAGATTTTTAGGAGATAACTTCTTTTAGATTTTCTAGTTTGCGAATATGTGGATTTTCTTAATCAGATTTTGCAAGCTTAAGCAAAATTAGGACAAAACTTTTTCATCTAATTTCCAGACTGTCACAACTTTTTTCTGACTTTTTGGCGACTAATTTTTAGCCAAAATTGTAACTTCCTGAATATCTCAGTATATTTCAGACTAAATTCCGGCTGTTTTTCAGATTATCGCGACTATTTTATAGATTATCGTGACTATTTTCCAGACTAACGCGACTAACGCAACAAGTTTTCGGTATATCGCTTCCATAACTCGTTTCCAATTTCTGCAAGTTTCCGATTTTTTTTTCAGCGACTCAAAGATTCTGTTTGGACTATGAATTTTCGTTTGCAAAAATAGTGTCTTTAAACTTCAAAAATCTAGAAATTATTTGCGAATTTCAACTCGGGCTATGGAAAATTAATTTGAAAATATTGTGATAGCATCAGTCATATATAATGAGCAAGGCAGTTTTGAACGGGGTATTTATACTGTGAATAAGGCAGGTTGACAGGTAAATGTTGGCAGGTACCTGCCTCTAGTCAAAAATGAGTCCGATTTGAGGCCTCAAAATTGGACTCACTATCACACCTTGGAATTTTTACAGCTCAAATATTTTCACACCTCTACTGCAAATGGACAGGTTTTACTTAAAACATTTTAAGTAAGCAATCAAAAGGGAGGGACCCTTTGGTTTGCGTTGGTTTCAAATTCCTACCCCTATATCCGCTGGACCATATATTAGATAATGGCAATTTTAAACAAGACGAGCTGCACAGAACTTCCATTACTTTTTCCCCGATTGCTTATCAACTCATTGGTTTTCGACAACAACCCTGTAAAATTAGATAAGAAATTTAATTTTGTCTGTGGTGACAGGTATTTGAACTCAGGGGTAGATTGAGGGGGGAATGGTGGGCGAGCCGTCCCCTCAGTGATTCGAACCCCTCACCAACCGAAAGGTCTCCCTTTGGTATTTTTATCATCCATTTTTGGCCGACCAACCCTTAAATTTAGACGAATTTTTTTCGGCATTTTCAAAAAACGGCATTTTGACATGTTTTTTTAAAAACTAGCCTGCGGCGCAATTTTTTGTCCAAATACTTTATAATCGTCTGGGAGCCCTCAGGAAAAAATTGGTCGACCTAAAAAAAAACAGTTTTTGCAAATCCCCTCCTCGGTAAAATCCTAGATCGGCGCCTGTTGAACATTTTTTGCAAATCCCCCTCCTCGGGAAAATCCTATATCGGCAACTGTTGAACATTTTTTGCAAATCCCCCTCCTCGGGAAAATCCTATATCGGCGCCTGTTGATCATTTTTCGCAAATCCCCCTCCTCGGGAAAATCCTAGATCGGCGCCTGTTGAACATTTTTTGCAAATCCCCCTCCTCAGTAAAATCCTAGATCGGCGCCTGTTGAACATTTTTTGCAAATCCCCCTCCTCGGGAAAATCCTATATCGGCGCCTGTTGAACATTTTTTGCAAATCCCCCTCCTCGGGAAAATCCTAGATCGGCGCCTGTTGAACATTTTTTGCAAATCCCCCTCCTCGGGAAAATCCTAGATCGGCGCCTGTTGAACATTTTTTGCAAATCCCCCTCCTCAGGAAAATCCTAGATCGGTGCCTGTTGAACATTTTTTGCAAATCCCCCTCCTCGGGAAAATCCTATATCGGCGCCTGTTGAACATTTTTTGCAAATCCCCCTCCTCGGGAAAATCCTAGATCGGCGCCTGTTGAACATTTTTTGCAAATCCCCCTCCTCGGGAAAATCCTAGATCGGCGCCTGTTGAACATTTTTTGCAAATTCCCCTCCTCGGGAAAATCCTATATCGGCGCCTGTTGAACATTTTTTGCAAATCCCCCTCCTCGGGAAAATCCTAGATCGGCGCCTGTTTGAACTCTTTACACAACCTTGTGCAGCCAAAGATTAAACGTTTATGTTACGTATGGGAAAAAGGAAAAGAGGGCGCAACAGCCGTTCTTTGGAAATAATTGAACAGCTTGCTTGTTGTTCGTTTCGCTCGTGTATAAACACTTAACAAATCGGACGCCGCCGACCGACAGAGAGGACTGAGACTGACCGACGAAGGGGGACCAGGCGATCCACCATCCCCAGTAGAAGATGGTCCACCAGTCCATCCAGTCCTGGTGTCCGTCAGTGCCCTGCTCCACGTGTCTGCCCCTGTCCGTGCCCATGGCACTCGGCGAGTGCATCTCAAATGCATCGCAGTGGAAACCCAGTTGGATGATGTAGTTCAAGTAGTACCTGACAAACACCTCACCTCATTTCAAAACACAACTAGTCGCCATTTCACCTCTTCCCATTCAACCTTTTCCAGTTTCAGGACATTTTTGTCGGCTTTTATGGATAAATGCGAATGTTTGTGTTGTGAGCTATTAAAAATGACGTACAGAAAATTTGATTTGCTGTGTTGACGGTGCAGAACAAATCAGTAGAGCTGCTGCTCCGGCATTTTTATTGCGATATTAAGAAAAACAGAACTATGACATATAGCTCAAACATGGAAAAACATGAGCAATCAAATGTGAAATATTTTGTGGCATTGAAAAACTGATTGCTGTTTAACTATTTAAGGAGAAACACTATTAAGCTCTTGCTCAAGAAGTGTGTGCATTTTTTGTTTTAAAGTTTTCTGGACTGGGTAAAGATGTGCAAAAAGCACGCGGATTATATGGGTCTCGAACTTCCGACTGGGAGGGAGAATTTTGCACTTCACCGTCACTTCTTATAAATCGTTTTCATGCTGATTTAAATTATTTGGACAAAAGGCGAATAACTAGAAACTTAAAGCCAACTTAAGTTCAGTGCAATTAATAAAGTGCGATTTGTTTTGAAAAATTCGGCACAATTAATAAGGTGCAATTTGTTTTGAAAAATTCAGCACTATTAATAAAGTGCGATTTGTTTTGAAAAATTCAGCACTATTAATATGGTGCAATTTGTTTTGAAAAATTCAGCAGAAATAATAAGATGCGGTTTAATTTCAAAAGTTCAGCAGAATTAATATGGTGCGATTTGTTTTCAAAAATTCAGCAGAATTAATATGGTGCAATTTGTTTTGAAAGATTTGGGTCCAATTTGTTTTAAGTCGACCAAACTGGTTTTCTGAGCTCTGCCAAATTACAATAAAGAAACTATTTTGATAAATTTTGTGCGCCGCAGGCAATTTTTTGAAAAAAAACAGACCCAGAAAAAGCGTATTTAGGCACTTTTGGAAAATGTTAACCAAGAAAATAACGTTTTTTCGGCGCGCCTTCCCCCCTCAAAATCATAATTATTATAATTTGACACCAAAGGCCCTTTTAGAACAGCTATAGGGACAATCAGCCAAAAATTGATATTTCAAAATAGTACAAAGGGGGACCCTTTTGGTCGGCAGGGGGTCGAATCCCTGAGGCGAGCGGCGTCCGCCCCCCGCCTCTCTAAATCCGATGGTGTCCAAAGTTACCCTAAAAACTGGTCGTTTTGGCTTTCATTTATTCAATCAAGAATTACGCTAAAGCTACCAAATCAATTACCGTAGCCCAACAAAAGTTTAAGGAGGGTATAAATAACAAACTTTTAGGAGGGCGTTAAAGAATTGTTTTTACTTGAAAAAATGGTGCTTTGTATTGTAAAAAATGACATTTTTTGTCTATCAAACAAAAATAAATAATCTTTCACATTTTTTGGAGGTCATATCCACCTGAAATTTCGTTGGGTTATGCGAGGGTTTCACTTTTTTATAATTTATCAGTAATTAATTTTGTAGTCTTAGCGTAATTCTTGATTGACTAAAAGAAGCCAAAATGACTTATTTGAGAGTAAATTTTGGGCTTGAACTTCGCAGAACAAATTGAAATAAACTCTGCTGAAATTCTCAGCAAAATTTGTCTTCATTTTTATTAACAATATTTGACTCAAGTTGAAAAACACGAAAAAATTCAAGTTATTTGCGTTTCGTTCGAATTATTTCAATCAACACTGTAGTTTAAGCGAGAATAAAAACCAAATGCATACATGAAATCTTTCCGGAAAACTTTCATGTGATTAAATTTTTAATTATTCGAGAGATGAGGTTATGTAATCAAGAGGACTGCTCGTATCAGGGCGAAACCCTGAATGTTCCGGCTGCCTTTTAATGTCTATGGAGCACTAAAACGAAAAAAATCATATGTATTAAAACAAAATGATTTTTTTTTTTCAATTTGACATTTTTTGTAAAATCATCACCCCACACGCCATATAAATTACAAAGCTATAGATTTGCTCCTATTAACAAATCAATTAGGGCAAATCAGCTTCCTTCAACCAATTTGGAATGACTTCTAAGACGGATTACATCTCCGCTTACGCGTTAACAGCACGAAATATATCGCGCGTTGATTGTCTACATTGGCCCTCCTAAAACCGCCGAAACTTTGCAAAAACTGATAACAGGTGATATATCTTTTCAAATTGAATCTCAAAACAGCAAAAACTTTCGAATGCCAAAAAAACTTCCAACTAAAATTGTTAGTTAAAAAGTTTTTAAAAAACTTGTTTAGAGAAAAAAACACCCGAGCACAAACATTCCGTCTTTTTTTTCGAAAATAGTCAGGACAATTAACTTGGATATTTTTATTTTCGAAGATTCAATTGTCAGCTGCTTTTAGTTGTGGGCTTATTTTAACTAGCAAATCGAGAATCTAAGGCTGAAAAACGCCAAACAAGCGTTTGTTTGATTTGATAGTTTAAAAAATGTGTAGCTGCGTATGGGGATGATGTTTAACTTGCCCGATGGACTGAGTGAAGACGTTGAGGAGGTAGACGGGGTTCTGGAGCAGTCCGATGAAGGTGAGGAGGATCATGCCCATTCCGAAGCAGATCTCGCTCAGGCGTCGGATGCCGATGTCCATGCCAGACACTGTGGATGCAGTCGCAATGATGGTGATACCCCACACTATGATCACCTACAAACAACAACACAACACTGCTGTCACAGTATTGCACTTAACAAGTATGCAAACATGTACATTAAAAATAACTACTAGGCTAAACATGTTGATCTTAAAAAATGAACTTATCACAATAAGTTAGAAATCAACTGTTCCTCGTCAAAATCCTAGATGCGCTCCTGAAGGGCCATGATTATGTGCAATAATTATAGGAAAGAAGTTGGGTACTAGTGATGGTCGGTTTCACCGATGCTGACCTTGACCCAATCCTCATTGGGGATGTCGCTGTTCATGATGGTGAAGCCCCCGTTGATCTGGATCACCCCCAGACCCAGACTGGTGCAGACCCCGAAGAGGGTGGTGATGATTGACAGGATGTCGATGGCATCCCCCACCCAGCCGAACACCTTGGTGCCGAGCAGGGGGTAGAAGCACGAGCTCATCTTCATCGGCAGACCGTGTCTGTATGTCATCAAGGCCATCAGACATCCCACAATGGAGTACACAATCCAGCCGTGGATTCCTGCAATACACTAGTTTGCTAATAGTTAACATGTATTCATACTTTTTCTTAACAATTTTGTCAACAACTATATCAATCAATAACTCAAATCCCGCAGTCCATGTTATACACTATACTATCTCAAGTCGTGAATTTAGCGCAATGATTTATAAAAGTGCCTTTTGTTCCGACCACTTCACGGAGTAAAAGGAAAAACAAAATAATTGGTTCGGTCAAAACAAGTGGTCGGAACAATCTGTCCAACTTGCACAGCATCCGGTTACTCTTTACTGGTCTTATTGTTTTTCTCCATTTTTCTCTAACTTTGAAATGATTATCAAAACTTCTGAAATTTCGATGGTTGTTTCGGTTGGATACTATGAAGTTTGTCATTAATCTGTTTATAATTAAATAGTAATGGGAGGGGAGGAGTGTATGGTATGTACCCCAGTGGAAGAAGGTGAGGTTGATTGCGTCTTGGGCCACCAGATTGTCGGGTCTGTAGGGGTCAGCCAAGTACCTGTTGGTACCATCAGTGTAGTGGAAGATAGGTTCCGACACTCCGTAGTAGAAGAGACCCACTCCGATTCCACAGGCGAACAACATCGTGAACCAGGTGAGGGTTGGGTACTCGGGTTCTTCGTCATCTTTTCCCAGCTTCAGTTTTCCGTACTTGCTGAAGTAGAGCACGATCATGAACAGCGACCACACGTCCTGAAACAGATCAGATGTCTTCATCGACACTTGACTTCTTTCTAAAAGAAACAAATAATTATTCGACATATACACAAATTCCAGTTAACTTCCAAATAATTCAAGTGTTTTCCACAACTTCATCAGGGCCACTAAATGGAATATAAGAGCCAACTTGCTGTAGTCCTTGAACAAAGAAGTTCCAGAAAACATTGTGACAATATGTCCAAAAAACACGAAACAGGAATGCGTGACAAATGTAAGCTTTGTGAAAACGCCTATTTGTTTTCGGACGAGGCTTCCAGAAGCGCCTAAAACACATTGAAATATTTCAAACTTTCTTTTTAGTTTGACTAAAACAGATTTCCGTGGTCTACTCAAACCTTAAAAAATGAAAGCCTCCCCCACAAAATCTAACCCTGATTTTTCCAATGTTCCAATGAGTCAAACGTGCACGTGAATTGAAATCTCCGCTACCGCAAATTTTAAGTTTCTTGTTAACTACCTACCCCCACCCCACCCCCTATGGTACCTTGTAACGAATCCCTCCATCTACTAAGCGAAAGTTGATCAGTTGAGCGTAAACGAATTTTGTACCTAATACGAATGCCGCCCTTTTGCAAAAGGGAAAAAGTTATAGGATCCGATTTGAAAAATAAGCGATGAGCTTAAAGTAAATCATGATAGAGTAAATGTGAGATTGGGTCTTGTTGTGACCTAAAGGCTATCCACCACATACCTGTGTCATGGCTTAGTTAGTCCGCATGTCAATTTTTATAACAATAATCGGTTGATGCTGACAATAAGTTTACTAGTTGAAGTTCGCATATGATGGCGGGGGGGGGGGGAGGAAAAAAGGAAAAAGAGCGGACCTGGGATCCGACATAGAGCCATGTGAAGTTGTCGGTGACCCATGCCCTGGCCTCGCCCATGTGTGAGTTGGCCTCGTCGTGGAACATACACCAGAAGATGAAGCCCCAGATGAGGATGAAGGAGGGGATGGACACTCGGGGGTTGAGGTCCACTCGCAGCAGGCGGGGCACCGACTTCGGAGTCGCAATTCGCCAACTGGTGTCCTGAAAACATCCTCACTTATCCTTCACTTCTTCGCTATATTTATTGAGACAACTTTTGCCAACTACTGAAGCATCAAAGTATAAGCTAGACCAAATAAAGTTGCACATTTTCACAAACTAATTTTGTACAAACCGAAACCTGTATTTATCAGATAATTGATACATTCTTTTGCAAGGCGCTAAAATTAACCTTTTTTTTTAATCAGACCAGATGACTCAATAGCAACAGTCGTATATCTATGATGACAACAACATTATGAACACATTTTACTTCGGACGAGCATCACAACTAGAAACGAAACCATAACAATTCAACAGAATATCTGAATTGCAAATAAAACATTTTAAAAAATTGCTTTTTGAAGACGAAAAAATTATGCTAAGTACGTAACATTAAGACTATGAAGTTGTATCGCAAATACATTCGAAGGTGACGGTCCACAACGTATAGATTTTTAAGTGTACCATTATGAATATTTTTTGTTGCTTTTCAGTTTTGCATGGCAATCAGCGGGGTCTTTCGTATTATTCAGTAATTTTAGCCCCAACCCCCAAAAACTAAATAAAAAAAATACACATGCACAAAGAAAAAGCCATGTGCATGTGTATTTGTTTATGAGTAGCCTGTAACTCTAAACGGCGCTTTAGTTACGAGTTATCCAAGTGGCCGTCCAGCTCACAATTTTTACGGCACTTATTTCTGGTTATCGAACAATCCAAATTTTTCTTGAGGCGCTTGTGATGTCATAATACTTAAGCCTGATGGGGCATTGCACGCCAAAAAACTACGATCGTTAATTCCACTTTTTTCAAAAAACATGTAAAATTTGTTGTTCAAAATAGAGTCAAAACCTGTTCTACAAAATGTCTGTCTTTTGTTCCAAGTTTTTTTTTTAGTAATTTCTGCATAAAGATTAGTAAAATGAGCGCCGGTGAAAAATTAACAAAGTTGTGTTTGTTTTAAGTTTTTCGGTCAAAATTTGAGCTTTAAAAACATCCGTCAAAGAGGAATACCCGGGTTGACCTCCATGGATCAAAACGCTAATCATATAACTCCATAAACTAAGTCTATGAAAAAATACTAAGCAAATTTCGTACATTTTGCTAAAAAAGTCATCGAATTTTGAAGGAACAAGTTTCTTGTTTTGGCATAAAAACTGGTGTATCGTCGTCAATAAAAGAGAAAAACAAAAGACACATGGAAGTTGTAAGACTACGGTTTTTTTTATGGTGTCAACAATACTTATTCTAAGTAGTTCAAAATAGCCCCCGCATTTTTTTCAATCGCAAAACGAATTTTGTACTCAAACAAACGTTACCCAAAAGAAACTTTGCATGTGAAAATCAACTTTTGTGTACATTAAGTTCTGAGTTTTTTCTGATTCGCAAACTGACTTTTTTCCGTTTCGGTAGATTACTTTTTTTCATAAACGCCTTTCCTATCTATGACATGTTCATGTATGTCTTTGAGTAAGGTTTGTCACTTAGGTTCGGTTACGAACAAAACTCAAAATTTTATTAGATTCAATTTAAAAAACTTAATTTTTCAGTTTATGGAAAAGTTCTTAATACAATTTCCATATTTATCAAAAAACAATCATCATAGATTTTCATGTAATTTTCTGTGTTGATGGTATTGCATGAAAAGAGTATGATTAGCATTTTCCATATATAAAACGTATGACAAGGATTTTTGGTGAACCCGCCTAACCAAAAAGAACAGAAGATTTTCCAACAGCTTAAATTAGTAAAATAAAAAACCGTAGAAGCTATGTCTTTGATACCAGTTTACAAGGAAATAAGTAAAAAAAAAACTAAAAAGGCCATTTTTGATCTGTTTTTCAAAAAAGTTTCTGCTGCTCGAAAAATTGATGAAATTAGATTTTCATTGTTTTGGGAGAACTTTGATGGCTCGGAATACAAATTTGGTCTATTAAAACAACGTAGTCAAACCTTTCGAAAAAAATCAAAAACCGCCCAAATGAAAATCTGCAAATTAAGGGCGCCTGATCTGGTTAGCTGAAATAAATCTACTGGAAAATTATTACATGATTAATTCAATAATAATTAGTCAAGTCATTAGCCTCATAGTTCCCGGAAAGCCAAAAGTTTTTTTTTGATCTCGGATAGCCGACAAAAATAAATATGTAAATTGAAGCAACTTATCAAAAGTGCAAAACTATACAAGCAATGCAGTTCTTGCGCACAAATAGTATGATCAGCCACACCAACATTTAATGCCTTGAAACTTTTGGGCTATTCGGGAAGGAATTTCGTTCGGCTATCCGGGAACGCGACTCCGAGGTACGGTGGCGTGTCACAGAATCAAATACCCGGATAGCCGAAAAAAATTCCCCGCCCTTAATTAAATTATAGACCATCAAAATACAAAAATTGTCTTCTGAGGTAATGCGAGGGGTTGCTTTAAAAACGAAAAAAAAATCGATCGATATTTCTTAAGATCGCCGTTTTTTATCTATTCCGAAACGCTTATAGATCTGAATTTCAACAAAACATTCTCCGACAGGCAATTGTATGGCGGTTTTGTACATCTCTAAGTTAGTTATTAACAAGAAACTTTCAGTGTTTTCAGCAATCCGGGAATGCGGCTCCGTGTGTTTTAATTGGACAAGACTCAGTTTGAGTTTAGCTTCTTTGGTTTACCTTAATCTCCCCATAGGTTCCGTCTCCCTTGTCTCCGAAGTCGTCTTGAATGTTCGCCTTGTTTGCCATTCTCCAAAGCTACACAGACGAAGTATTTGTCGGCTTAATTGTTTTACTTTGCTGAAGAAAGTTCTTTTTCTGCTGTGTTGTAGGCTAAGCTGAGCGTTTTCACTCCAGATTGTGTTGTTCAAAAATGATTTTTTGCTTCTTTTTTCAATCCTTGGCTTCTTTTCTACAATATTTTGAGCTGTGGTGACAGAGTAAATTGATACACGTAGAAAAACGGCCAATTATTCGACCAAAAGTTAAAAACAAAAGCCAAAACAGAGCGACTGATGATAAAAATGAACAGTAAAGTTCAGTCAGTTGAATAAAAGCAAATTTGCAGCTCGCTGCTTATAATTTGCTAATTTTGAAAGCCTCGTGACAAATTAAAAATCTCTTTTTCTTGGTTTCTTTCAAACGTATTTGAGAATCAAACAGTAAAAAATGTTACCAACAAGCTCGTTCCAACTTTCGAGAGTTTAAATAACCACAGGGGATGAGATCGGCATGTTTAAACGCGTTTGAAAGAAACCAACCAACTCGAAAATTTAGTCTTTGATCCAACTTTTCTTTTCTTCACGCAGCGGCCACGAACGTATTCAGTGGTAAACTTTGTCAGCTTTTAGCATAATTGCTGGTGATATATAATCAATCACTCGACAAAAATAGAAAAAAGAGAACATTTTAGCTGATGATTAAATAACAAGCAGATTATTAAGAGATCAAATGTTACATGCAAAACTGCATGAAAAATGTGAGCTGAGGCCTTAGTATGATTTTAAAGTGAGATAAATATTTTCAGCATGGGTTGAGGAATAAGGATGGACATCCAATATCTCAGAAAATGAGTCCTTTGCTAAACCAAGAGCACCCCATTAATAAAAAAAAACATTTTTCTGAAACTTTTTCTGAGCACTTTTCATAGAGTTGAGGGTATCCCGAACCGGATTTCCATGAATATCAATCAATTAGACAGTCATTTTATCTTCAGCATCTATAAACATCTAAAATAGGTAATTATTGTTCCGAGTTTTGATACGAAAGAAACGGAATATTAGTGCTCGGGGAGGGTTTTCGTTCTTCAGGCAAATTTCGACTTTTAAACTAGCCATTTTTGACGGAATTTTTTAAATATCATTCAAAGGGTATTGTTGTCCCGAGCTGAAATTTGAAAAGATATTTCACCTGTGATCAATTTTCGTAGAGTTATGAGGGTTGTAAGATTGCCATTTTGGCCATTTTGACCAATTTGGGACAATTAACGCGCGATATAATTCGCGCTATTTACGCGTAAGCGGAGATTTAATCAGTTTTATAAATTGTTCTAAATTGATTGAACGAAGCTTGTTCGCCATAATTGATTTGTTACAAGGAACGAAATCTATCTTTTTGTACTTTATATGTGGGAAAGTTATCATTTTTTAGAAAAAAATTTTAGAAAAAAAATTATCATTTTGTTTTAATTCATTTAATTTTTTAAATGTTATTACTGCTGCTCCATAAACCTTAAAAGGCAGTCGAAACATTGAGGGCTTCGCCCTGATACGAGCAGTCTTGTATTCAATTTAAAATGAAAGATGATACTGCTACTGTTTTTTAAGCAAAATCATCCCTTTAGAATTATCTATAATGGTTTATAAAAGACATCATCGTTTTTTTCTCAAATTAGTTGACATTCTGATATACTTTTATTTCATTGAAAACTTGAACGGTGGAATACTTAAACTTTCAGGAAATTTTCTCTGATTGGAAATCTGTTTTTTTTTCTCTCAGGAGTTTTTGTCTTTTTTTATACATTTTTTTAGCTGCGCCTATTTATGTTCCACCATTTACGTCCCTCCCGCACTTGACTCGCCTTTCAATTGCACACTCTTTGGTATTCGATCTGAATTCGACGTAGAGAGTGTTGACTAAGCGAGGGATATCACTTTGCAAAAAAAACTGTAAAACTGCTGATTCGAATATTTATAAAAAAAAATTAGCTTCATCGGCTAACCAGCAAGCTAAGTAGACAAGCAAACAAACAAACAAACAAACAATCAAACAAACAAACAAACAAACAAACAAACAATTAAACAGAAAGCTCTAAATAGCTCGAATCTTTCAAGAAATAGTTCTGCCTATGGAAGAAAACCAGAATAAAGTAAGATCGGTCTAAACTCCCACCCTCCTCAAACCCCAATTGAGAACTAAGACCACTAACTATGAAACTCAAAGGACGGATCCTGTAGATGATTTGACACACGCAGTCAAAAATCCGGAACCCTCAAAGCTCCCCTGGCTCAAGTGATATCAGTTCTCGGGAGAGCAAATCGCCTTATTAAAATTCAGTAACTAGCGATGGAAACTGGAGGCTGGGTGGCCCTGAAATAAACAGTCCCCAACCCGGTTTCCGAAGTCATTTCTCGGCCCTCAAAAATTGCAGGAAAACAAATTTTATAGCTGCGATAGGTAGTGACAAGATACATAATCTTATGAAAAAGAACCATTTAGAACGGAGAAAGAAACTTTATGAACTCCGAAAACCACCCGTAGTCGAAAAATAGGCAATTTATGCAAAAGAATGAGAGAAGGCATATTGACTTTCATGACGGCTTTAAATTTTAATACAAACCTCAAAGAACTCCCTATGTGAGTAAAGTCCTTTCAGCGACTCCTTCTGGTGTTATTAGCTCTTTTCCGGGTAGAGTGATAAGGGTCAAAATAGGATAACTTGGAAATTTTTAATGGGAAACGGACAAAATTTAGTAGGTAGGAAACCATTAGACTCTTACTTCGAACAGGACCGTTTGAACCCTGGTGATCCCGGGTTGACCTTTTCTTGACTTTTTGGCATTAAGGCCCAAAACTGTACAGAAAATGCTTGAGTTTAAACATGAAGCAGGCCTGTCGCCAGCTCTAATCTTTGAAAATGGGAGTCAATCTCATAATGGAAAATTGGGAGAAAACTAATCGATACGAAACCCATCAGACATCCCATCGATTTTGACCTCGTTTTGGCAACGTGATCCTTTAGCTCATTGTACTTTCACGCAAATCTAGTGCTGCAATTGTATTTATATATAAAGTAAAAATAAACAATAGTTATTATTAAGGCCTCAAAAAATATCGGGTGAAAATACATATCTGAAATTCTCCAAAAATGACGGAGAAACTGAAAAATTTTTTGGAAATTTTTCAGTTTCTTCGGGATTTTTGTCGCAATTTTTTGCTCTCTAAATGACGCAAGAATTACAAGGAAAAAGTCTTATCTTTGTCAACAGAATTTAAAAAAAGCATTTTTTCCCGCATTATTTCAGTAAATTCAACTTTTTTGTTCGAGCTATTTTTTTTTTCTAAATTTATCAAAACTCAATAAAAACTTTGAATCTTTTCAATCATTATCCAAAGTATATTAGTGAGGCAATCAGGGGAAGGGGTCTGGTTGCTGACGCCCATGACTTTATATAGCTTGTAAGCATCCGGTCAGCAAGCTATGCATTAAGATAGGGAATAGGTTCTCAATGTATTAAGTTAGGCTATAGGTTTCCCAATGTATTAAGATGTGTTATACCCAGTTTCAGATGGTAAGTTTCAAGAACTTTTTGGCGCACCGACTTTAAAAAAATAGTTTTGCGCTCGACTTAGCCAATAGATGCGCTTCCATTTTAACTCCTACGGTTTGATTTTCTAAGAGCTATATTTTCCTACCAAATTGCTTTACCATACAGGAAAATTAAAAAAATCAAATCGTAGGAATTCAGAAAAATTTTGAAACTATTTCAAATTTTTAATTTTTGCAAATGCGTTTTTATGTTGAAAGCCGAAAAAAAATGGAAGAACAGGTTTCAGATTGTAAGTTTCGATTTAGAGCATGCAAAGGAAAAAACTGAATATTTATTTCATCTCAATTATATCCCCTCGGGTTATCTAAGGAAAAATTGACAACGGGGGACTATCTTTGACATGTTAACTGTGTCCGCTCCACTTATATACGAGGAAATTTGAAAGCTCCCCACGGATAATGGATTTATATCCCACTTAACCTCTTTCCAGATTATCTGCTGGGGAAAACGAAGGACAGCTCACTTCTACTAACTACTTTCATTAATTATTTTATCTTTTTCGACTTAATTATCTAACGATTATGTATCAAATGTACACTAGTCGTTCCCCACAGTGTTTTTGAAGCGTAAAATGTATTCTTAAGATAATAAAACTTCATTTTTTTAATATTAAAATTAGAATTCGTCCAACCAAAATTGCATAGTTATTTCAATAGAAACTTTGTATAAACAAGCAAAAAATATAAATTTCAACCAATCAGGTAATTTGGTCAAGATCTAAATTTTACTCCAAATTATTTATTTATTTTGTCATATTCCTTGCTAGGATTAACTTCAAATCTTCTTTATCTTTTATCTTACAAATACTTGGAAATTTTATTGGAAATTCCAAAAATTTAACCTCCAAAATTGTCAATGGTTTTTTTCCGAATTTTTTTTGTATGTTAACTTTTCTAACTCTCTCAGAGTAAGAAATGGAAAGCCTTCTCATCAAGAGTTTTATTCAAACTATTCCAAAAAAATTTAATAAAGAAGAAATGCTGAGTAAATTGCATAAAATTATCAGTTTTTGTTAGTTTTTGGTGAAGCATTCGTCGATAATTTTTGTTGAAAAGGAGTAGGGTTTCTTTTTCTAACAAAACAATAAGCAAAATAGTAGGTTTTATCCAATTGAGTAATCATGTTCCAGTAGTAGTAGTAGTAGTAGTAGTAGTAGTAGTAGTAGTAGTAGTAGTAGTAGTAGTAGTAATAGTAGTAGTAGTAGTAGTAGTAGTAGTATAGGATTTAGAGCATCTGCTCTAGTTTTACTTTTGATAGTTTGCACAAAATAGAAACTATTCATCTTTGCAATTCTTAGCTGATTCACATATAAAAACAAAGATAGTTTGATACTAAGTTCTGGATAATGCAACGGTTCAGCTGCATCTCCTAGTGAAGTCAAAGAAAAAAATAGAACAAAGTGACTTTCAAAATCTTCCATAGGACGTCCTGGAAGTTCTTAGTTAATCTGCATTAGTTTAAGTGTTGTGATATAGGGGCTCTTCCACACCGAATAATTCTAAGCTCTCTCAAGTTAAAATGTTGATAATTGAAAAAATTTTTATAAAAAGATCCTGCACCAGAAAAAGTTTTACTGAATAAATTGGTTTTGACGAGATGAATAAAAGTTTCTGCTATAGTTTCGATGTATTTGTAATGGACAAATTCTTTTTCCAGACTCCATTGCAAATTTTGATGATTAGGTACAACTGCTAAAAGTTTAACAGTAAGCAGCGAACTATCAAGAATAATCAGACCATTCGTTGAGTCATCCATCAGACAGCATGTAAAAATTAGATCTAGCTCAAACTAATTTAATTTGAACTTTGGTATTTGATGGTAACACTTTTTCACAAACAAATAAATCAAGGACAAGCCTATCGTATAA